AAATAAATTTCAAAAATTATTATCTTTTTTTTATTTGAAAAAAATGGTCGAAATTGTAACTAAAAAAATTGCAAAAAATAAAAAAACTAACAGAAAAATAGGAACAAGTAAAGATCTTCTAAGAACAGTATTTATTACACTGTTACTCCAAAAAATATGTGTTTTGACACGGTCTCCAGTTTTAGGGGGACTGAACACATGGGTTTGGGGCTTATTTTCTTAAAATCGTCGAGAAAACAAAAGAAAAATAAAAACAAGAGACAAAAGAAAAATAATAATTTTTATGATTTTTTTTCATAACACAATTTTTTTTTGGTTTAGTAAAAAAGTTAGCAAAGCAAAATGTCGATTCTCTGATAACATAATATTGAGGAGGAAAATGTTATTCGTATGAAAAATAAAAATAAAAAAACAACAAAATTGATGAAGGGAATCGGGGCAGTGTTGAAAAAATGGAATTTAAACATTTATTATAATAAGATCATTTGACGTAAAATTTGAGGAAAAACTTAACAAACTTTATTCAAATTCACATTGTGAATAAAGTTGAAACAAAGATAGTTTAAAACCATTAAAATAAAAGGAATTGATTACTATAACTTTTATTGTTTTATTGTGTAGATTGTTATAAGTTCATTTTATTTAACACAAATCGAAATTATTAATATTGATTAACATATTATAATTATTATAATTTTGAAACCAATTCAAACCAAACCCACCAAAAGCACAATTCAATTACTCTTGATTATTTTTTCATCCTTTTGAATTCAATTATCATTGATTTTCAAAAATTATGGGTTTATATATTATTAAACTATAATAAAACAATAAAAGTATTAGACTATGATATACCGAATTATATTAAAATCCAAATCATATTATTGTAAATAAAAATGCGTGTTTGTTTATCCAAAAAGGCATGAATTGTTATATTTCAATATTATTGAAACAAACAAGTAGCATTTTTGTGTATTGTGTGGCATTGGTTGGTAATTGATTATTCCCATTTTTGTATTAAAAAAAATACCCTCTTGTTTTATATCCTATTGAACCCGAAAAACAAAACAATTGTTCAATGATGAAATAACTATATTTTACTTTATTAAGAAGTTACATAAAATGTGCTCATATAATGTCATTATTTTTGTAAAACATTTTTTACAAAAATAATTGTATAAATTATTTCCCAAAAATGTTTGATAGATGGTTTTCTTCTTTACAATTCACATGACAATATGAACATTACTGATTTTCTGGGACAAAAAACAAAAACAACATCTCAAAAATGTAATAATTATTAAAAAGCGTTTAATTTACCAATGATTATTTTTAAAAAAGCACATTTATTTCTAATTGTGTTGTTGTGATAAAACTAAATATTAATCACCATATTATGTCTGTTTTGGAATCATAGATTGTTTCTCATTTGTAATTGATCAAATCCCAAAATATTAGTATAATTATGGCCAAATCAAACATAATGTTGTATAGTATATTTACTAAAAAATATAGTATTAAATTTCACTTTAAAAAATGGTAATTTTTTATAGGTTTTGTCCATTCTCTTGTTTTTCCCATTGTAAAATGTAAATTTTTATAATTATTTACCAAATTATCATTTTGGCTCGAATTGCTTGTTATTTTGCCATTTCTTTTATTCGTTTACAATTTTCCATAATCTTTATACTTTTTTTTCTTGTTTTCCCCAAAAAAATAGAGAAAAAAAGTAATTATAATCAATTTCTTACTAATAATTATTAAGAAATAAACCAAGTTTTATCGAATTTTGGAAAATCTAAGTGTTCGACCTCCCCCCATTTTTAGAGACCGTGATTTTGACTTATTTATTTCGACAATATTTAAAAAAATAAAATTTCTTAATTAAATAATTAATTAAAAAATTGAATGTAAATATATTAATAAATCCATTTAATAACAAAACAATCGAAACATCACTTAATATATATAACCACAAAATTTCAAAATCTAAAAACAACCAAATGCCGATTCGCCTTGATCGTTACTTTGTGATGATCATTTCTAAATATTTCAAAGACATTGGGGACTTCATTAAGTTGGTCCACGTCTGCAAAAAGTTAGCTGAAATACCCGCCATGTTTCACTATAATCCAGTTTCTATGAAAGGCAAAAATAAGTTCTTTTCGAATATTGAAACTTTTCATTTGTATTCCAAGTATGATGAAGACGATGACAGATATATCAATTGTGTATATGAATATCTATTATCATAACTCAAAGTATCTTGAGCTCAAAACCGATCGTTCTAAGTTTAAAAAAGTTCGATACACAAACGCCGATTATTTAAAATACAAAACTTTTGAAGGAGCTACAATACTTTCTAATGGGTGTTTCAGTTTTGAATTTCTATCTTCAACTCAGCAAATATTTGACATGCACAATATACTCTCATTTGGTACACAATGTTTTTATAAGAACACTTCCCTTCAAGAAATTTATTTAGACAAACGCCTTACGATACTTCCATTTAAATGTTTTAGTGAATGTAAGAACCTTAAAGAGATCGACCTTTTCTACGTGACAAATATTGGTGATAAATGCTTTGAAGAGTGTTCAAAATTGTCTTCCATCACTCTTGCAAAATCATTAGATTACATCGGATCAAATGCATTTTTCCATTGTCACAACATCAAAAATGTCACGACAAATGGGTTAAAAAAATTGAACACTTTGATCAACTTTTCGAGTTATGAAGCTTTTAAAAGTCTGAATCCCTCCATTTCATTGTCGTTTGATGACATTCACCGCTGGAATAATTCACGAAACGCTTTGTTTGAGTATCCAATTTCACAGATAGAAAGCCAAGCGTTTTTTTAATAATGATATAATTAATGAAGGAAGTATTCCAAGCACTCTAACATATATCGATTGTTTTAATTTCCATTGTTTAAAATTGCCAAATATGGACTTGAGAAACGTCAGTTTTATTGGTGAATTCGATAACTTTAATAATACAGTCACCGCAATTACTATATCATCACAAATACAATTTAAGTGTTTATATAAACTTCAAAATTTGAATAAAATTGATGTGATTAACAAAAGTGGGACTACAATGGTCTACGCGACTGCAGCTTGTTATATGCGAGAGATGCTAATGAACCAAAATGTAGAGAACATTGACTATATCTTTACTGGAAGAGACGTAGAAATTTTCAATGGAAAAGTCCCCAGTTTTTGTAAACAAGTCGATAGATACGCATTTGTAAATAAGCAAATAACAAATATTGAAATCCACGAAAACGTATATACCCAATTTGAAATAGCAATTTGTCCAAAGCTTGAAAATGTTGTTATTCGAAATTCTCTGTATCAAGAGTTTTGTATAAAAATAGTTCATTGTGATCGATTGAAAGAAATTGTTTTCTTAAACGAATGTAATTTGTTTGTAATAATGTGCCAAAACTTAACAAAGGTTACTTTTCTTAAAATACCAAAACTGTCTTGCTATAATAAAACCAACTTTGTACAATGTGAAAAGTTGAAAGAAATTGTCATACAAAACGAACCAGAAAATGGAGTTCATAAAGAGGTGGTTAGTGAACAAATATACAATTTTTTGAAAGACAAATACAAGTTTGAAAAGGAATATGTTAAAACAAGAGATTAATTCATTAATTTCACACTGTTAAATATATTACTTTCTATATAAATAAATTTCATTTTACTTGAATTGTGGATTTAAAAAACAATTTTTAATTATTTTAATTACTACATTTGTTTTATAATAAATGTAATGAATTAAGCAATTTTTATTATTAATTCATATTTTTGGTATTTAATTGTTTAGTCTCTTCTCACTTTTTTTCTCAACCATTCATACCAGATATTTATTTTTCTGAAATGTACCTTATAAATGTATTTGCAAAAAGAGTTCCAAATTAATATAAATTGTTATTTAATTTGAAATTTTATAAGAAATATTAAACTTTTGGGCTCTTTGTTTTTATAAGAAAAACAATTAATTATTTTATTTATAAAAAGCAAAACAGTAATATCGAATAAAACATTAACTGAAATATGTAAATATTTAAAAAGCTCACAAAACTGCTTTTTAACAACCCATTAGTGCACCGATCCACCCACTTTCCATCTACTCCTTTGGCTCAACTTTTCCAATTAAATTTTGCAAACATGGAACCGTAAATTGTCAACCCAGTACATATAATGAAAATTGGTGACATGGGATGCACCTATAGCAACTGAATATGTACTTTTTATCAAAAAAATATTACACTAAACATATTTTTGAATAACAAAGTTGAAGTCAAAATGAATGGTACCAAACACAACTGTCTATAACAAGTTTTCAAAAATAATTACTTGGTTTTGTTCAAAAAGTTTTATATAACGTTGTTTGACTGAGTCTTTGTGGTGTGAAACAGATCGAGGTTGTCAAAATGTTGTTTTGACAACATTTTGACCTTTCTGGTCAATGATGCTTAAAAATTATTGTTTTTTGTTCGAATTAAATTAAAAATTGTTTTAGTTGTTTTTTAATTATTTAGATTTTTACTCAATTCCTGATTATTTAAATCGTTACTTTTTTAAATAAATAAAAAACTTGGCGACTTTGACAACGTCAAACAACAAAATCTTGTTAGTCAAACAATCAAGTTTCATCAGTAAATCATTTCCAAAAGTTGAATTCTTAATTTTGATCCTAAAACAAAACAATTATTAATCAACAACACTTTTATTATTAAATAAATTACCGACATTTTTAAACAACACTCACGTTCAAAATGTCTTGTTTTAAAAATGCCTACATTAATATATAACAAAAAAGATTTTTATAAAAAATTTATCTAATTAATTGACATGATGAAAAAGTTAATTACAAGTTTTTATATTTATGTGTTAAATAAAAAAATATTAATCAAATTACTTTCATTAGTTGTAAATAACAGATTGAGCGTTTTATCAATAAATTGAATGCTGTTCAGTCTTTTTATAATTTTGAAATTTTATCCAAATTCAATATTACCAACGTAGAACCAATATTTAGGTTTAAAAAAAACTTAAGTCAACCAATGAGTTACTCTTCCATTATTTCTATTTTCGTGACCTTGCTATTATCTTCTTTAACAAGATTTGCTTTTTGTTTTGTTTTCTTAAGTAATTTGATAGTGGCATTTGAACTAACTTTAATTTCGTCACATTTTCCAATTTGCAGTACTTTTAATAACCCTCCACACACATACACTTTCTTGACATCTCCAACAGTCGCTGAAATGGGATTTGCTTTTGTCCAATTAGAAAATGTGACTTCCTCCAGATCGATTCCATTTAATATAACTTCACTTGTACAATTAATGATTTCCAGTTTCTTGTGATCCAATTTAAGACCTCCAACACAGATTTTCGAAATTCGAGTGTCTCCGCACATCAAGCCAATATCAGTGTTTTCATTACAGAAGAAATTAACGTACTCCAATTTCATGAAATCGACGATCGGTATACCACTTTGTCCATTACACACAAAATCGCATTCACTGATGTTTGCGTTGATTTGCACTCTCTTCAAGTTGTCTTCATTAATAGTGATGCTTTCACACTCAAATAAGTCAATGTACACTTCCTCTGGTTTACACTGCTCCGCACAAATTTTTCCTTCGCAATTGTAGATTTCAAAAGCTCGACACTTTCGAGGCAGAACAACATCTTTGCAGTTTACATAGCGCAACACAACTTCTTTTATTATTTCACTCTCCAAAAAGTCAAATGTGGCGATTCCCTTGGGACGGAATAACCCAAGTTCTTCACTAGTACCAGGCGGAGAAATGTCTAGACGACTACACTCACATTTCTTCATCATTTCTTCTATAAAGTCCTCTTTGCCAGACATGTCACTTGAAATAGACAGAGTTAGACGTTCTTCAAATGATGAAAATGCCATTTGAATATCTGGAATGAATTTCATGTCAATCGACTCTTTCGTAATCATTTGGACGTAAAGAGGATACTTCTGGGAAAGTCTTTTTGCACTGTCTATCTGATTTTTAGATGTAGGCTGTGACGCATTTTGGAGGACAAAAGTGAAGGAAATATTAGAGTACTTTTGAAAATCAAAATCGGCGAGTTCGTGCGCGGCATTTTGATTAAAATATATTGTGACATCACGCAGTGTCCGGATAGACAAAACTTCGTCGAGAAAAGTACACTGACGTAAATAGTTGATAACAAGAGTTTTGAGCTCGACAAACTTTTCAGTGTAATCTGCTATAATATCTAACATATTTGCTTCAATTTTTAATTTTCTGATTTTCTTTGCATAGTCCGAAATGTTATTCAAACTTTTTGCTAAAAGGCAGTTGGCTCTATTTTTTAATACACATTCAGAAGCATCTAAATCGATATATGGCTTAAAGCGAGGGCCTACATTGGCAGTTTCTAAAGTAGTGGCTTCTAAATATATTGTTTGAATGTTTGGAAAGTACCTCTGTATTTTGGGGAGTGGAGTGTTACGGCAGAGATTGTATGAGGCAGTGTACATCGACTGAATTGAATCACAACACTTCTTGTTGATTAATATAAAGGAACAAATGTCGGATGATGTTTGAAGGTAAAGGATAACATTCTTAAGAAAAACAGACTCAAGTTGTTTCATTTTTATTTTTAAGTTTAGTTTCGAGTTTTTTCAAATTGAAGAGTGTTATGAATAATTGAGTTTTGATATAAAGCATTTTTGATGTATAATTTCTAATTCAATATAATATAATATATAATAATTGTGAAAAATAATTCAGAAAAACACTATTTATCATATGTTTTGAATAAATTTTATTATTTTCATGTCATTATATATTATATTTTATTTATTCAAATGTAATTTTATTGTTTTTTAATTAAAGTATCATATTCCTCACAACTGTGTATTCTTGATTCGTTGCAGTTTGAACTATTTAAAATGTTTAAATTGATTTAATGTCTAAAACAATACAATTATTCGTTATTATTATTTTAAATATGGTATATTAGTTATTATTAATATATAAAAATGATAGTAAAAATATAATTAATCTTTTGTTTTTACAACGGATTAATCAAATATTTGTTTGAAACATTGTTTCATTTTTGATAAATAATAAAGAATTTAGTATTTTAACATATTTTGAAAACAAATAATGACTTCAAAATTTGTTGTTTTAATATCATTTAAACAACAAATGTTAAATAAAACGCAAAGAACTAAAACAATAAAATAAAAACTTTGATATGATTTTCCATAATAGTCCATTTCTGATTGTCCTAAAAGTACCAAATAACTTTAAAAGACTTTTGTATTGTATTTCTCATATAACAATAAATCAAAATAAAAATAAGTACTTTAATAATTTGTTTTTATTCAATAAAAGCACTAAACCTATTTTTATATCATTTGAAAAATTTAAAACAAAATAATTCGATTCAAATGGTCGTACTTAAGCCTATATTCCCCAAAATGTTATTTTATATATACCGACGATCGAAGACGTCTACTAATTTATTTTGATAAACAACAAGTGTTTTTCTTTTGTCAATTCCATGCATGTGAACTCACACAATTTCTCATTAAAGTCTACAATTGAAAAATCATTCTTTTTTCCAAAATATATAAACACTTTTTTATTTTAACTCATACTCAACACTAATGAAAAATAAACTCAAATTCCATTCCAATAGTGGAAATGAACTTGCAGTCGTATTCTTTGACTGTTTTTAGCTGTTAAAGACCAAGTGGTATCCTAATAAAATACGCATCACAAGTAATGGAATTGGTCTACGTTGATTACACCACATTTAAGCAGTTAAAAGTACTTGTGATCACATGAAACTGTGTTTCTACTGACAACACTTCTTATGAGTCAATTATATGTCACGACACACTGCAAAAAGTCACTTTTGTATTGACACTAGCAAATGTATCTAATATTGTCAAACTCAATTTAAAAACAAGAAAAACACCAAAATTGTGATTATTTTAACACTGTAGTCTTTCAATGATAACTATGTTAATCTCTCGACACTTCCTAATCTGCCAGATTATGTTACTATTTACACAACATTTTTGTACAACAATTAAAAACACAATGAATTATTTGGACTTGACTTGTGGAAGTGTAATTCCAAGTCAGTTGATAATACTACATATCTTTAGCGGTGATATTAATGTTATTGAGGAGAAGATGCGATTGAATTTAGTTAACAAAAATCCACGTCTTTGGCTTTAAAGATTTTCTTTAATGTTTAACACACCAATGTCAACGTAGAGACATGGTGTTATTACGTTGTTTTCACGTGCGACTATGTGTAAGAAATTGAAATAGTTAGTAGCGACGTGGACGAAATAATTCTGCCAACACACGTCGAAGTAATCCAAATAAATAAAATGATTGTGAATGTCGAAGTAAACAGTGTGCATTTCGAGAAATAATTGTAACTAATTTTATTATAACGGTCATCAAAAATTTAGAAATAAGTTGAGAAATTTAAATATGCAAAAAGTGAATGACACTGTCGAAATTATGGGAAAAATGACTGAAAACAATGCAAATTTGATTGATGTGGACATGAAGTATAATATGTTGTTCTCAGAAAATGGTGCGAAGTAAAAAATACAACATCGTCTTTTTTTCTTTGTATTAAAAAAAGACAATGTTGTGTCGAAAGAATTTGCAGCAAACTTCTTGTTAGTAACTCAAAAACAAATTTATTTTGGCGATTTTTTGGAAGACGTCAATTTCTCTGTTAAATTTAAAGAATAATTAAATCAATTTGAATTGATAAAAATTGGCATTAGTTTTAATTAAATTTAGGGATGTGAAAAAAACAATTTTAACACTTAAAAAACACTTCCTGTTAAAAGTGTATTCAAATACTCTATTAATATTAAGGGAATTGACCACTTATTTTTTTAATATTATAAATATGGTAAAACAAACTATATAAATAAATCATCAAAATAATCATATATTTACCAAGTGTAAAAAAATACAAGAAATAAACAAAGTTTTTACGTGTTAAAATGATTTGTCGTTGATTCACAATGTCTTATCAAACCGTTGTTGCTCTGTTTTATTTTCCAAAATCATCAAACAAACTTGTTAACACCACTTATTAAACTCAATGTGTTTCACCAAAATCAGTTGATTACAATGCAGTTTATGTTGATATTATTTACTGAAAATATCAACTTTTAAAACCAGATAAACTCGAGTTAAAAATCGGGTTTCCACTTATATGTGGATTGCATGTAATTGTGTTGTTGAATATTCAGAACACGTACTTTGTTGAAATTTTTCATTTGTTAAATAATAATATAGTATTTATTAGTTTTTAAACTAAAAATCAAACTAATTTTAAAAAACTGATTCAAAAAATTTACGGTCAATAAAAAAAATGCGTTGTCGTTTTGTTTGGAAGCACTTTTGCCTTTAGTGGACTCGCAGAACGATGATGTAAAAAACACCACGTTGCGATGTATTTTTGGGTGTCGCGGTCAATATGGACGACAGGTTCATCACACAAATAACACTAAAATCGATTCAAGAATTCGAAGAGAAAAAAAGGATGAATTAAACACAAATTGTTTAACTCCTTTTTGTACTTATGTGTGTTGTTTCGCAAAACAATCACGTTCTTTGTGAGAGATTTTTTTACGTTATCATTACAAAGTTTGCATTTCTTTTATACGACTTTAAATAAGAAAAAAAATTCAGCCGATTATGTCTATGTCAGAAATTGAAGAAAATAACAACGAGTTACCATCAATTTTCAAAACGACTATTTTCTGGTTTGTCTATAATGAGACATTGTTTATATGTAAACTATTTGACGATAGTTACGTTTTTTTATATTTAAACTCCAGTTGTGAATTGCTGAGAAATGAGACTTAAAATTCGAAAGCAAATCACAATTATGTTACTTAAATATTTATTTGTTTATCAATTTTTTTCGTGTGTATTACAATACACATTTTCCTCTTTTTTTGACTTAGTGAAATTATATTTTAAAAGGTAATTTTTTTCTAATTTTATGTTGTAAAGTTACATAGACATTAATGTTTTTAAATAGTGATATAAAAACAACTTTTTATTACAAATATTCTATTCATCACTATTCAATATAATGTTATTGATCATAAAAAAATCTTGACTAACAATTATCTATTAATAACATTTATACATAATTTTAATAAGATGTAATATATTTTTAATTTTATAAACAAGTAACTTTTTATTTAAATAAAAAACGTTTTCATGACAATAATGTGGACGTTGCTGATTAATATTAACACAATTTTATCATTGAAATAAATGTTTTTGTTGAAAATATAATAAGATTTAATTAATAATTATTCGACAAAAATAAAACATATAAAAGTATGTTAATAATAAAATCAAAATAAATACTATAATAAAATAAAAAAGTGAACAAAATATTTATTGTTTTGTGTTGAACGAACAAACGTTTGTTTTAAGTTACATTTCATCAATTAAATAATATTTGAAACAAGTTTTTATTTAAAAACAACAGATATTAAAAGCGATAATATCTTTTTTGTATCAATTTTTAATGATGTAACTGTTTTGTCTATTTTTTAAATAAAAAATTTACATAAAGATAATCATTACATCTCAAAAACAATAAAATGTTGTTTTTAATTGTATTATATTTCTTTGATGTAATTTATGCCTTTTCTGATACTCCATTAAAACCCAGTTTCATTAGAGTTACTCATGGACAAGAATATGAATTGGCACGAAGGCTCGAGTCACAAGTTGAAAATTTAGAACAACAAAACCTGAATTTACAAAGTTTAATGATTACAATCCATTCAAAAATAAATTATTTTTTATCTGAAATGAAAACACTAAAAATGTTTCTTTCACGAGGTGTTTTGTTTGGCCCATTTTCAAGACAAGAACTTATCACATTCAACAACTTTTGTTACATGTTTGAAACTCTAGAAAAGGAACTTGAAGTTGATCATCCTGGTTCGAGAAGAGTTATTGCTGCAATAAGATTTCTCATTCCGATAATTGAATGGATGGCTGCAGAAAGCACTAAAAGAACGTTGGGTAGGTTTTGGAAAGCACAAAGAAGGTTCACAAGGAAATTTGAAACATCAAAAATGAAACGCAAAATTACAATTGAAAGAAAAAAAGAGGTTGAAACAATGGAACTTAAATTTAAAAATATAAGAACATTTATATTTGATCTTACATATTGTTTATTTGGTATGTTGGATAATCCATTGTTTACTTATTATGAAGCTCGAAGAGAGACAATTGGTATTGTCCAAAACATGAATAAGTTTTTGTTGGGTATAGAAAATGGAGTTGAAGAGAATAAACCAACTAAAAGCTTTTATTCACTAGGACGATTATGAAATAAACGAATGGAAAATGGTTTTGATTTTTATTGTTTTTAAAACATTTTTTGGTTAAATGAATATCTAACATGTGACATTTGAATATATTTAAATTATATTTATATATAAGTAAATTGATAAAATTGTATTCAAAAAACGAATATTATGACAGTCAATGTTACATTTAATATCAATATAATATGTTATTAGTCTACAATTTTTAATAATAAAAGTATTTTTTTATAAAAGTAATA